GTCACACTCTCCCTCTCAGAGGAATCGCCACCAGGTTCAACAATAAAATCCAGGATTTCAAAAGGGCATCAGGCTGCCTGCATGTAGAAGGCCCCTAAACGCAGCTTGTGACACCAGGCATTTTAGTCACATGTCGGAAAGCGCCCAGCATGAAAAAAGTGAGGCAGGGTTAAAAAGAAGTGCCAAATTGAAGATGCAAAGCAAGGTTGTTAAAAATAAACCCACTGAGGAAGGTACCTAGGTGTGGGGCATGGGAGAGCTCCCTGGCCACTGGCACTGAAGTCTTAGGGCGTGAATGGCCCAAGGATGGCATTTACTTGAAAGGACGCTCGTTTGTTAAGATGTTTCACAGAAAGCCAATCAGAGCCACCAGACAATAAGGGCGGCCTGTTCTGGGCATCTCCCATTCCTTCTTTTCCAGCAGCACAAACAAATGTACCACAGCATAGGGGAGCAGCATTTCACAGACTAACCATATAGTAACTACAGCCGCATAAAACTGTACAAAACAGATGGAAGTGGCAGAACAAAGGCCTACAGGACACAAAGACATTCACCAGTTCCCACTTATTTATACAAGAAAACCTTTGCTGTTTATGGCTGCACTCCTAATAAACACAATTCAGCTTGTACCCATTTGTAAGTCACTGCTTTAAACAAATCCACCTCTCCTGGTTAAAATACTTCAGCCTTAATTTAATGAAATTAATAGATTGTGGGAGACTGTATAAAAATTTTTTTTGCCCATTTCCAAATTAAAAATAGCTGAAATGACTTGTATCTTTTATTTTCTAAAACCAGAGACAAAAAGATATTCCCAGCCAACAACTGAGGTGCCAAGTTTCTGTCAACTCCTTGGTTATAATTTGGAGAGCTAGAATTCAATTATGTATCTTGAAGAGTGTAGTTTCAGAAAGAGACATGATGTAAGGCCATCGCAGGCAACTTTTAATCAGGCTTCAAGTAATGACACTCCCAGCCCCGTGATTTCTAGAGGAGTCTTGAAACTTTCTAGTTCTAACTAGAGAACGTTAAGATGCCCCTTCTAATTCTGTCATGAGTCCCCATGAGAAAAAACATGGGGTTTCATGAACATGATTCACCCAGGCCTCTCATCCATGCCAACCTTGACCCATGGCTAATGCCTCAGACCCATCTCACACCACCACACCCCTTTCTGGGCCTGGAATACAAAGCAAGGGAAGATTGCTGTACTGAAAAAAAAAAACTGTGCCAGGTTCCAAGTTTTTATTCCACATCAGTAGTCCTCAGTCTTGGTTGCATGTTAGAATCATTCGAGGATTTTAAAGAGAATACCAATGATTAGTCCCTATCATAGACCAATTAAACTATGATTTTAATTTAACATTAATTGGGGCTAGACCCCGGCATTTAAAATAACAACAACAACAAAAAAACACTTCAAAGTTAGAACTGTTGCTGGATGCTGGGTCATGGGGAGAAGGCACAGAAGAGCAGGAACTAAGTGCTCCGAGGTCAGGTGAGCACCTCTCCCTTGCACACCCCGGGCATGCGAGCCCTGGATCCCTTGCCCCGACATGCAATGGCCTGCATGTGTCTTCTGGCTCTCAAGAAAGATCTATGCAAACATGAAAGGCTGTAGCCTACAAGACCTGCCTTCTAGGCTGAAACCCTGAGCATAGTTTACAAAATTATTTTTTCTCTTAGCCCAGAAAGCCAGCGGCAGGGGCTGCCCCGTTCTCTTCCCCGAATCAATTATGGTGCCGAGTCTGGACAGCCTCGGTCCCAGGGAGCAACATTAATCTTGAAGGACCGAGGAATGTTAAGTGTGGGTTCGGGCAGAAGAAGAGTCAGTTGATGACTCGGAGAAGGGATTTGATTTCACAATCACATACACTGGGAAACGTCAAAATCAGGGCGGGGGTGGGAGGATTTAGAGTCCATTTAAAACAGCATTCAGCCCGTGATTTTTAATCCCACTGGGTTCCCTTAAGTCATCTTCATGCTCAGTTTTAATTGAAGGAGCGAGAAAGACTCTCCTTAATAACCAAGCAAGAAAGAATCAAGTGTTTTCCATCTCTCTTTTGGAAACAAGTAGGTATGTACACGCTTGAATTTGTCACTGTGCTCCAGTTCTGCAGACAGCGATGCGGCTGGCACAGGGACTCACAAACTCTGTGCCCACAAACAGCTGCACCCTCCAGCCCCAGCAGGTGCACGAGCAGAGCCCAGCTAAAATTTGTCGCAAGAACAATGGCGCCCTTATGACGCCGAGGGACAAGGCCCCATGTTAACCATGACTGCACTACATTTGACGAGGGAAAGAGCTAGAAACCCACCCACAGTTCTCTGGGGTTTGGCCTTTTGGTCCGGGGATCACAGACACAGACCCAGCCATGCCCAGCACCACAGCGATAGCAGCTAACAATTATAAAGCTCGACCAACCAAAGAATTAGTGGAATTAAAAAAAAAAAAAGCCCTCCAGAAAATGTATTCCCCTCCTTTTAACACATCTTCTCCTCCCGGGGGCTGCATTGCCACAGTCACCAAGTTTACATTCACATCCAAATATGCACACACACAAAAAATTACCGATGCATCTCACTCCCCAGTGACTTTGTAACAGGTTGCTAGGTAACACTGCACACAAGTCAGGTTTCAGGACCTTTAGTAAACCACCATAAAATAGCTGCTTGGGCCTTTTGCATAAATAGTGTGCATTTGTTATCTGTTTTCTCCTGCCGATTGATCAGTCGGTAAATACTGCGACTGCCAAACCGTAAACAAGTCCCCATCAATATCTAGCTGAGAAAACAGATCACAATGTGAGGCTTTGGTGCAGTTTTACCCCAACCTACCAAACGCCTTCTCCACTGGTGAAGCTCCTGTTTGCAATTCCAGTTCTCAGCAGCCACAGGCCTTATGTTAAGCGCCCTGCGATTGGGTCTGGAGCTAGTTACAGCCGGATGTGGAGCACCCAGGGCTGAGCGGAGCAGGAGTGGTGTATCGTACACCAAGTGTTTTACCCAATCCTTCCTTCATCTCTCCTCGCCTTCCTGCAGGTTTCAAAACTTCCAGGGCCGATGGAGTGACGGGAATAACCCCTTACTAAGAGTCACTCACCCCACTTAGTTTTCCTGTCTATTAGTAAGATGTCTGTCCCCCTTTCTAAGCTATGCTAAGTGAAGATGCCATTTGCATTCCTTTTTTGCACTAGGAGAGACCAGAAAAGGAGCCCCTGGTGCTTTACTGTTGGTGGGAGAGGGAGAGGCCATCAAGGAAGAACCAAAGATGCTCCAGAGGTGAAAACTAAAATGCCAGCCGCATAAGGTACACTGGAAGCTGCACTTTCCCCTCATTTTCAAAAATGTTTCAAGATAAGACCCAAAGTCTCTAAAAGTTAAGTTTCCCTTAGATGAACTGGAGGAGGGAGAGGCAGGGTAGGGGTCGGGGTAGCAGACAGCCCCCCGTCAGTCTGTGCCGCAGTCAGACACACTGTAATTCCTGGGCTCGATGGTCCCCAGCATCGGGCTGCCTACCTCACACTGCAGGGCTGGGTGCCCGGCACTGGAACATTTTCTGCTCTCTTTTCCTCCGCAGCTCATTTCTGCAACGCCTCATTTCCATCCCCTACCTTTTCTCATTTCTTCCAACTAGTGTCTCCCACTCCTGAGGGGCAGAGATCTGGGGTGATGGGGACATTCAGAAGGACCTGACTGCGGAGTCACTGAGCACGGGGTCTTCAGAGTGACGCTGAACCTCTAATGCACCTGGCAATGACATTTAGTGAAATGCGACTCACAGTCCACTTAAAGGAAGGCGGTGGCCAATTATTCTCCGTTTAAAAGGGTATTGTCAATCTCCAAAGAGCTGAAATGGCATTTGGAAGCCATCGTGGGGACTACCGTCTTCACTGCGAGACAGAACTGATTCTCAGCCGACCTTTCCCCACCCTCCACATCGCCTTTAAAATTTAAAATCATACTTTTAAAAAATGAACTGAGTAGCAGCACAATCCCAGGACACGTTTCATCATTCCAAAAGGGAGTCAGGAAAAACAGCCTCCCTCAACATCTCTATGCACCCCGTTCAACTCCACAACTTACCAAAGAAATTGAAGATTAAAAAAAAGACAAAAAATAAAAGAAACATCACATATAATTTGATGGTGAAAGTGCTATCAATTAATACGGATAATTTTTTATAGCTTAAACTCCATATTCTATCCAAAGCACTGGGGCAGTTGGAAAAGAATTTTTTTTAAAAATTCTAATTCCGCTTTATGTGAGATACCTAGAGTAGTCAAATTCACAGAGGCAGAAAGTGGAAAGGTGCTTACCAGGAGCTGGGGGAGGGAGGAATGGAGAGTGACAGTGTAATGGAGAGATGAAAAAGCTCTGGAGATGGGTGGCGGTGCTGGCTACACAACAATGTACATGTACTTCACGCCAAAGAACTGTACACTTAAAAACAGCTGATTTCATGTTGGGTGTGTTTTACCATAATAAAAAGTTTTCCACTGAAAAAACATTTTAAGATGATCTTTATTATTTAATCAAATTATCAAAGTCTCTGATTCCTAATAGTAGTCTCTGTATATATGTCCTTTAAAAAAATCTCTCAAATAAAAAGCAAAGAACTTGAATAATGCAAAATGAGATGTTCCACACAAGCGCTGTAAAGAACCCAACGCAGAGAGACAAGGTAAATAGGGGCCAAGGTCACACAAAGAACTGCCACCGACCTGGCTCACCCTGTGACCTTTCCCCCACAACAAGAGCCCATAAAGGAGAAAAAACAGGACATCGGCAGTCTCTGTCGCTTCTAGACCCAAACCACAGCAATGCCTACTTCCAAAGGACTGGAAAAAAAAAAGTCAAGGAGAAAATTTATGAAGGTGCCGACTATTAGCATTTAAAGGGACCTCGAAATCGCCTCGTCCGACCAGTTGATTTTACGGATGAGAGTACCGGTAGAGAGAGAGAAAGAGAGAGAGAATACAACCCTATTCAAGTACCTGACAGCTTCATGAGAAAATCAGACGCCATCTTAACAGAGATGTCCTGGCTGAACAATGCTGACGCACTGTTGGCCACATACTCGGAGGGGTCTTTCAGCTTTGTGTGGTTGGCCGGCCTGTCGGCAGCATTCAGGGTAAAGGAGGCTGGCAGGCCGTTATCTTCCTTGGGTTCCTCCTTCACCAGCAAAGGCGAGACGCCAGCCCCACCCTGGCTAGTCCTCTCTGGAGTGTTGGCCGTCATCATGGTCCCCACTAGCTCTGTCCCTCCTCCTTCCCTTTGCTGCCCCAGGCAGGCACTGTCACTGAGGTGGGGAGATCCCTTGACATCTGGGTCTGGGATCTCCTCCTTCACCTTGGCTTCTGTCCTCAGGAAGTGCTGGTGGCAGCGCATGTGGAGCTTCAGGCTGAAGTGGCGCGAGGAAGTGAAAGGGCACAGCTGGCACTGAAAGGTCTCTCCCCGGTCCTGGTGCTGATGAACCTGCCGGGAAGCAAGAACAGTCATGAGCTGTCCACCGGGCGCTCACGGGAATGGCGCTGGGCATCCGCGCCCATCACCGACAGTCTCCTCCGTACAGAGGGCTGGCCCGGGAAATAAAGCAACCAGAGGGGAGCGGTTCACCACTGTGCTCCCGGTGATGAGGTCGTCCCGAAGCACAAAGCGGGGCCGTGCAGGTTAAGAGTCCCTTGTTAGAGCCACGCTCGCGACGGAGGGTGCTGTCGGCCAGACGAGGCCTTCCCAGGTAAACCCTCTTAATAGTCTAGCCATCTGATCTCGGTCGATGTCTTCAGAGAAAATAGTATAAACCCAGCAGAATGCAAACTTACCTAATTACTAGTTGGGGGTCAAAAGAGGTCACCTGTCAAGTAATTCCTCTTATTAATAACACTTTGCGTGCTCCCAATGACTGTCGCCCAGAGAGTTAATGGTGTTTTGCAAACATAATTTCAATTTTCAAAATGCTTCTCTAGGTAATTAAGAATGTGGAAAATAATGTCTCCAGGGTATTCCCATTTCATAGACAGGGCAATTGAGACCCTGGAGTGAGTGGTTTGAGCAAAATTACATGCGAAGAAAGTAGAGTAGAGTGGGGGGAACCATGATCTGATTCCCACCAAGGATTCTCAGTGAGATGAAACCAACGTTTCCCAGCGTGCTGACATCATGCTCAGATTCTGATGTCTGCCATGAAAGAATGCAGACTTTGAAATCCATTCCAGTCTTACATGCACGTATATACCTGTAAAATTTGAGAACTTTTTTTTTCTTCCTGTCACTACCAAATTTAGTGCTTGAAAAAGTGAGGAAATCATTGCATTGGCCCGAGCCAGGCTCTGAGCTGGCAGGTGCTCATGAGCTTGTTAACTCCCCCTTTCATCTCTGCCAGTGCACTTCAGTGCTGACCTGCTGCACCCTGCTATTTCAGGACTGGCCCTCCCTTGTGTAAAAACTGCCAATTGTGTAGATTTGGGCCAAATGATCTGGGGAGTTGTGTGATCTGGACAAACAAGTCAGTGATTGGAATTCAAAACCAAAACAAAACTGACACCCTATCTGACAAGGGTGACCTGAGTGGGATTTGAACCCAGGTCTCATGAAGGTTAAAGGCCAGTTCGTTAATCCACTGTACCACCTGGTCCCTTGGCGGAGGCTTCCTTTCCAAGAAAGCAAGTTTTACTACAGCTGTTTATGCATTCTGAATGCAATCCAAAAGTATTATTCACCAGCCAAAACATACTTTTAAATAATGTTAAGTGACCAACAAAAGCAAAGAAATTAAACGTTAATGGTGAGATCCTGTCGCTACAGCACCCCACTGTGGCTTTTTGAAAAAAACAACAGAAGAGATTCTGGGTCCCCCAAAGCATGAATTTCTCAACACCATATAAACTTAAATTTAGTTGCAGCAAAGCCTTGCTCACTAAAGCCTTCCTCTGCCAGGTCTGGATGCGGGGGGAGGGGGGGAGTGCGAGGAGGGTGCTGGGTTGGGATGCCACACTGTTGCTAGCTGTGAACATCACCCCTCTCTGTTCTTTCACAACAAAGGGATTTCATGAGCTGACGGGTTCATCTGTTTTCTCAAGGAATAAGGAAGATTTCCCTACCACTTCTCTACCCTGTTCACATAGAAGCAGGCACCTCGGGAGCCTCAGGTCACAGCCCCACGAGACTCTGACAGGTGCTGCCCAAAGCCTGCCCTGGAACCAGGTGGTAAAGGTCACAAGGCAGAAAGAAAGCTCCCTTCGTCCCTGGGAGAATTCCATTTCAGAAGTGTCCTTACATCTATTGACCCAGGAGAGGAGAGGAACTAATCCAAGAACAGAAGCTCCTGAAGCAGCTTCTAGAAGAAGGAAAAGCATAGAGAGCGAGCCCAAGTTCTGACGCTGAAAGGGAGCCCTGGATGGAAAAGAGACTGCATGCGAGTATTTTACGAGGCAGCTTTTCCACCAGGTCCTGGCCGTGCTACATTTAGTTGTGGGAAAATTAGTGACTGTCTTAAGGAAAAACAGTGGATGTGGTGTTAACTTTCACACTTATTATTTTATTTGAGCTACACCTTTCCAAAGTGGGTAGGTGTCACATTTGACCCTGGAGAGAAGTTTTAGCTCCATTCTCCACTTGCAATGTCTCCCCTTCTCTCCTAACCGACGTGCGCTTTCTGTTACCATTTTTATTCTCTTCAGCTTACCATTGACTTCAAAATTCCTCTCACTCTGCTCATAAGAAAACACACTTGTCTAAAGCATGTCATTCTTTCCAGGCCACATGGTGATGTGCTTACTGACTGGTCCTTTTGCACCAAAAGCACATCCCCCATCCTAAGGGGTGGGAAGAGAAGGTGTTGTTGCATCATTGGGTCCATCTCCTGCAGTTGGATGAACACAAGGAAACCTTGGGAAACATCGACTCCACTGCCCTTAGGGGACCTGGCCAGGCAGGGAAGGGGCTTACCCAAGGGTCCCAGCTCCTTAGGAGGCAGGCCCGAGAAAAGCAGAACTCGGAGTCCTGACTCTTGTCCGCTGTCTCACCATTACTTTGCCCTTAACAGTCCTCCTCACCTTTTCTGTTCAATTTCAGCTTATGAATTTCCTATTTAATTCCTGTATGCTCAGTCATCCAGGAAAGTTGTAAAAGACTTAATGAAAATCTAAGATAACCCTGAGGAAGCTGGAGGCATTTACATCTCCTTCCGCCGCTGCTCATAAAAACATTTGCACAGTATACTAAGGAGAAAAGACAGGATTAAAAAAACATACAGTGCCTAGCACCGAGTAGGAACACTGTTAATACTCTATTTGTTGAACAAATAAAGTGGAAACCCATTTTTTTCTTAAATAAATATATATAATCAATATAGAAAAAGATACATTAGAATAACACTAAGGGTTACTTCTGTGTGATGAGATGAAAGGTCAATTTTATATTATTTTTGTTTATTGGGTTTTTCTAAATTCTCAACACTAAAGACATATCATAAAAAGAGAAAAGCAATAAAATTTATTTTAAAGAACTGTTTTAGACCATGTCATTAGTTTATTTCTAAATGTAAACGTTAATATATATTCAGATGATTTTCGGATAGTAATTGCTACATTAGCTACATTTTCCTAGTGTTTCTTTGTCCGTGCTGGGCTCTGTGTTAAGTGGCTTATGTCCATTTTATCTCATTTAACTCTTATAACCACTCCAGGAGACAGATCCCAAGATTATTATCTCCATGACCAGAAACGGAAGCTTGGAGAGGTTAAATGATTTGCCCAAAGTCTCACAGCTACCAAACGTCGTGGAACTGAGATTCTAACTAAGGTTCTTCTGACCACACGGTTCAAGATCTTTATCTATAGGCTACGCTGCCCCCACTTCTTAGGCAGAAATCGTTTTAGGAAATCTATCCATCTTTGTAATCTCTGGTGGAAAGAGCTGAGGATACCTACTCCTAAAACCACAGCCATCGTATTTCCATGAGGACTATATTTGCAAAATTCAAGTATGTCTAATGAAAATAAAACCACGAGTTCTTTGATTAAAGAATAATAATAATAAAAAAAAAGGGCCCATAAGTGAGGTGTAGAGCAGAGAAAAGAAACAGTACACCGTTTGATAAAATTAAACTTGTATGAGCCCTTCTCACACTTCCCTTATCAAAAGCTCAGTCGGAGCTCAACAGGTTAGGACACAATGAGTTTGAATAAAGTAGTAATTTCACACACTGCTTTATTGTACTGGTTATTGATTTGTTCTGAAAGCATTCTAAGGCCCCACGACCCGAAAAGCCCTCGCCGCTCTCATCGGTAACGCTGTCATGGCTGACTGTCTGTATCATCAAGGCACCCAACTCATCTCTCTGTAGTTTCAGGGTCAGTAAGTTCCTGCTCTCGAAAAACCCAGCTTTTTTTCCACGGGTTTATAAATAGGTTGTTTTAAGTGACCCTGAGCTGAAACCAGGCTTACAAGGTGTCAGGCGAGATGCAAGTTTTCTGCTCACTGAAGCTTTAAATTGGCCAGACCTGACTTCTGCACGCAGCATAGGACCCAGTAACGAAAACAAATTTTCGTTTTAAACATTTCTTTTGAAGTCTCATCCCGCTAACGAAATCCACTTTGCAGGTGTAAAATATGAGATTTTACTTTGGGAAGAGGTGGCAGAGGATGAGGAAGGTTAAAGTAAAAACTAAGCAGGCTCACTGGAATTCAACCAGCCAGAACTCCTGGTTAAATGGATTCTGGAGATGAAGGGCATGCTACTCCCAAGAGAAAAAGGCAAATGATAGAAAACAAATTACATCATGAATTCAATTTTTAAAAATCTTTTAAGCTATTTCCTAAAGTCAACAGAGGTTCCGCCTCGTCACACTTTTTTAGAGCTACGATTCTGGACAGTAATTACTGACATATTCAGGAGGGCTAGACAAGATTTAGAAAAAGCAAATATCTTAATTATGTACATACACTATACTTCTTATGGCAGGAAAGCAAAAACTTTATAAACAATGTCAACAGCCAAACCATATTGAAAATACCAATAAAAACGGTGATTGTCATTATTAAGATGTTAGACAATAGTTATTGAAATTACATAACTATTAAAGAGCATTTCTGTGTCAGAGACTTTACTAAAATTACCTCCTTAAATAATGATAACAGCTCTTCTCAACATTATTGTTCCCATTTAGGAGGTGAGAAAATTAAGTCTAAATGCCCATTTGCTCAAGGCCACTTAGCTAGTAAATTGCACAATAAGATTTAAATGTGGGTCTATCAACTTCAAAAGCAAGTGCTCTTTTGGTCTCATGAGTTTTCTTCTTGAATTTCAGACAAAACCCTTAGGACTGATGGAGTTTGCTAAAAAGATTTCTAGACGACTAAGTTTCCCCCCCCTCACTTAAGAGTGACGCATGGACTCTACTCAGTGCTCTATATCTCTATTACAGGCGCAAGCCCAACTGTTTTCAATAGAACATTGAAAACAATGTCCTTGCATGTCACAGTGTGATCCTGAGAATTATAACAGCTCAAACACTGACAGTCTCAGGGAGGACTCAGTCTTGTTAGGAATGGCCCGAGCCTCCCACAGTGCTAACGGTGAAGCCCAAGTGTCTTTCAGTGCCCTGTCCCCCAAGAAGGTGTCTCTGGGTGTTCCTCTGCGTTTGTAAGCAGAAGAGGGCAGTCTCTCCAGGCAGGGGAGCAGGTCCAAGTGCCTTGTCTCTGGGGCACAGGTCCAACAGCCCTTCCTGTACTCTTTCTGCCCCTCCAAGCACCCCAGAAAAAATGCATCACCATGCAAGGCCAGGTTAGGCTGCTGCTCCCCAAAGAAGGATAGCTCTGCACTACATATATTACTTGGATATCGAAGCTTCTCTCTGTCCTTAAGTTCCTGGTTGTAAACTGGAAATGAGAACCTTCACAGGAGGACTCTTTTCAAGGTATTTCATTTTGGTTGCATTCTACCTTCCGGCCCGAGCACTGTCATCCACCACGCGGCCCTCTCCCGCTTGGCGGTACCTGCGTCCTCGTCAGGCCTGTCTGTGGCTGGCTTACCTTCATGTGGGATTTGAGATTGTCCTTGCGAGCACACCGGAATGGACAGAGCGGACACTGATGACTTTTTAAACCTGTGTGAATCACCATATGCCGCTTCCAGTAACTCTTCCTTTTTATAACCAAACCACATATTGGACACTGGAAAGGCTTTCCACTTTCCTCTTCTGAGGCTTGGAAGAAGAAAGAAAGGAAAATTAAAGAAAACAAAAAGGCACATTGCATCCAGCACTAATTCACAGGCACTGCTAGATAAAGAACTCTAAAAATGATTCCACGGTTTTTCTTGGTCATCCCAAGACTTTATCCACGGGGAAGTTTTACTACTGCTTTTCTTCAGGTAGAAACCCACGTTCTTCTCACGACTTCCCTCTGGGTTCCATTTTTTAAAATCCGATCGTCCTGCCTTGGGAAAGTCTTACTTCCAAAGGCCATCCCACGCTTAGGAAGACATCTGCCAAGGGGCTTCGCCCGGCCTGGCCTGGCCTTACTCAGGCCCGAGTAGCCTCAATTCAGGGACTTTGATTCCTGAAGAAACCTGCCAGGCCCCAGTCCGTATGTGGATTCCTGGACTTGGAAAATGGCAGGAAATACAGGCAGATCAAACGGGGCAGAGGAGAACGCGCTGCACCGCAGCGGAAGCCTAACGGCCACCGTCCCCCCGCGCCGACTCCAAGGAGACAGGTGTGAGGATCCCCGCTGCTGACTCGTGCCGTGACGGCCCGAGCGATGCTGCTGCCAACCTAGCCGCCGGGCGTCTTAAGGGCAGGGTTTTCACCCTCTTACTTCTGCCCCTCTGGCTGCCACTAACCAGATGCGCTGCTTCCTCTGCCCTGCCACCGGGCCCCACCGCCCACTTCGGGAAAGCTACCAACCAGGCAGTCACACCTGCTTCAGCTTTTCAGGAGAGCAAACAAACCAACTCGTTCCTCCAAGGAAAGCTAAGCTCACTCTCTCCTCCAGCGTCTCCACAGGGAAGGGGCTCTGCTGTGACACTGAGTTGCTACCTGTCCAGCGTATCAATTGACACTGGTCGGTGCCACACCAGCCTTGGCAACTGGGAAATAGAGGCCATCAAAATAGGTATAGTTCAGGTCTCAAACTTCCCTTTTTTAATCATGAGGGATCAAAAATATTTGCAAACTGTTAAATAAATTGTAATATGCTCATAAAATAAAATCTACGAAGCTGTATTTTAAAAATGAGATACGTTTACAGAAGCTAATACAGAAACGTGCCCAAGATATTAAAGAGTTAGTGGATAAAGTAAGACATGAAACTATGTCTAGGGTGTTTCTATTTTTGTTTTCTAGAAAATGGGAATCAATTGCTGTTTAAACCATTAGGTGAAAGGTTGACAGGGAACTTTATAGAGGATGGATCAAGCTGACAACACATAAAACCACTGATTAATCTTAACATCACTAAAAAGGAAGCACACATTGCGTGCCTTCTGATAAGCCATCTATGAAATATTCTTACAAAAATTTAATCAGGCCTCTACCTAACTAGCAGTTCACTGGAAATACAGGTGATTAAAACAACAACATGTTAAACACACAAAGGGGATGGAATCGGCCAAATTCAGAATGTTGAAAAAATCTGCAGGACAAATGACCCAGTTTCTTCAACAAGGAAATGACATTTTTAAAAGGACAGGGGTTATGGATGAAAAGACGCTTAAGACACATATTAAAAAATGCAAGGTGTGAATCTTATTTTGATCCTGATTATAAAATTATAAAATAACACTTCTGAGATGAATTGAGGAAATACTGATGATAGCCTGGGTGTTCCATCATATCATGTAACAATTGCCGATCCTGTTAGATGTGATCATAGGCACTGTGGTTATTTTTTAAAGTCCTTATTAAAATTCATATGGAAATATTTACAAACAAATGGATATGATGTCTGCAATTTGTTTTAAAATACTTGAGAGGGGAAAAAAAAGAGGAGGAATAGGAAGAATGGCATGAATAAATGAAGCAAACAAAAAAAAGATATCCTCTCATTTGTACGAAAATTGCCAGGAAGCATACGCAAGAAACCTTATTAAGCAGTTAACTTTGAAAGAGTGTGGATTAAAAGACAGGGAGTCAGGGAGGGAAACTTTCGTTTTCATTTTATATTCCTCTGTACTATTTGAAATTTTTTAATGCACATGTTACTTTTATCATTTTAAATGGAAATATTCCCAAGTGTGAACTTTAAAATAATTTTGTATTTTCATTGAGTCAACTGAGTCTCCACATGCAAAGAACCACTTAAAACAGATGGAACCAGAAAGGTTCTGGGATAAAGTTAGGGCACTCCAAAAATGCTGTTTTACTAATACAGGTAAGGGCAATAGTGCTTAGCTTAACCACGTAACTTGAAAAAGACTCCTCGATCTAAAAATATACCCTTCAAGCCTGGAAATTCTACTTGTGACATGTTTCATCATGAGTATTTCCTCTTCCGACTGGGGTGAGGGGGGCAGGAATGCAGGGTTTCCTTCCACTCCAGGAAAAGCACACTTCTTGAGCCCATAAACATGCTTTTTTATTAACCCGCCAGAGTTTCCCTGCTGTCTGTTTCTGTCGATTGCCTCCTTTGACCTGGAGTCCTACCCCTAATTGGGCCTCTCATTTTCTGTCCTTCACTGTCATTTCCTTCATTCTGATACTTTGATCACACAAACCACATGTTGAACAACAGATTGGAGAGAAAGGACTGAATTGGGCCTTTAGGTGAGATTATTGTCATAAGCCGGGGGGCAGGAGAAGGGGATCGATAATGAGGTGTATTTGAGGTTATAAGAGAACATCAAAGTAGTAAGAAAGAGGTACACAAACAGGCTGCCACAATCCCCATCTTCAGGAAGTATTTCCCACTATATAAACTGCCAACTTTACAGAATTTTCTGAGAGAGAAAAGTTGAAATGTCCTCCACTGGCCTGAGATTTTACAGCACATCATAGGAAGCCAATAAAAAGGCATGAACTGACAAAAGGAACATAGCTGGTTTCCCTGGACACCTTTGCTTTGCCTAATGTGACCGCCTCCAGCCCCCACCCTCATCAACTATTCTATATTGCAAATGCAGTCCAGAGTACACTACCGAAATCCTGCATGTTAATATTTCATATAAATCTATTGTATTTTGGAGCTACACTTCCTTAGTTTTAATTAATACCAAAACACACATGAATCATGTACAAATTAGGGTGTCCTTGGACTGTGGTCAAATAGCAAGGGTACTACAACTGTTTGAAATTTTTAACTGATCATGGTAGGAAAGGAAGAAAACAATCCAAGTGGTAAAAGTAACCAGAAAACTGATCAATTTTCAAAGTTGGCCAGTAATCTCCCCGATAAGATCTGCATTTTTATTTATTCAAGAAAAAAGATTTCATAGTTTAGTAGGACGTCCTTCATGTGTACATGACATGAACAACTCTGGAAAAGGGAAGATGTATTCTATTTTGTATGCCAAACTATTTTCAAGGAATGGACAGCTGTTTCACTGAAATTTACAGCTTTAGGAGATATGACCACTTCCTCAGAATAATCCACACATTCTTGCGGCAATCGGATTGAAATGTTCATGAATTTACCTAGTTTACAACTGTCTGATAAACAATTTCCCCCCAATATATCACTAGCTAATTATTATCACAGTGAACAAAACTAAATCCCATCAGATGCTAATCGACCCAGTGGAATGGATAGCTGCTAATTTGTTACTTTGAAGAAAACATGTTCTCTTTAGAGGCAATAATATTATTGGAATAAAAGAGATAATAAATGTGTGTGAAATGCCCGTCACGCAGTAAATGGAAGCTATTGGGAGCAGCTGTAATAGTAATAGTAGTGACAATAAACCCTGGTCATGCCCTCCAAAGCAGAAAACTCACCATTAGAGCAGATGTAAATTTAAACAACTGGCATCACATAATAAATACATAGCTCAGGGCCTGGCTGAACATGGTAGTTTACCACTGGAGCCAGGAGGAAATAAAAGAGCAGGGGTCCATTGTGCTGCTCAGGTAGGGTCTGGCTCAGTCCAGACAGAATTCTGATGGGCAAATTCAGTATGGCAGGAAAGGAGAGAGATGGAGAAGACAGAAGGGAGGCGAAGAGTGTGGACCTGGCTGGGGCAAGGCTGGAAATCCTCACCTTTGTGTCTCCAACACCAGAAACAGTGCCGGGACAACATGCAATCAGTAACTGCATGTTAGACTCTAATAAGATTAAGCGGAAAGGGCTGGGTCAAGAGTATGGAAAAGTGAAATGAGCACTGGACAGAGAAGTAAAAGATACAGGAAGCTGCCAGTAAGTCCCAGTGGAAGTGGGGTGAGTCCCAGGGTGCATGCCTTTCACACAGGAGCCAACACACCTCTTGAATGGATGGTGTATAAACAGAGGGATGGACCTTTATGCACTTACACCTCACTTATTTCCAAAATGAACCTGAAGCAGCTTATATTAAAAATGCATGATATGTCTACATCATGAATAAAGTACAATGATATATGTTTAAACTATTTACAATGGACCAGATCTGCCCAAGATAGAGATGATCTTGTAGAAGATAGTGAATTTGAAGAAGGAACATATTTAAAATTTAAAAAAAATTTTTTAATTGATAAAGTTAAAAATAAACAGAAAGTAAAATGAAAGAATTTTTCAGCAGAAAGGAATCTAGATGATCATTGCCAACAAGCTCAGTTTAGAGATGAGGAAACTGAAGTGACTGGAATGCTCCAAGCCGCTCTGCTAGTAGTGTGGGTGGGGAATTTTCACTTCTGTTTGGTGCTCTACCCTGTCGTCTATAAATTTATGAAGCAACACCACCAAAACTTCACTGGGCTAAAAAGAAAAAAAAAAAATCATTTTAACTGACTTGCTTTAACTCAAGGAAGGTATTTAAAAAGAAATAAATGTAATTATTTTGTAGGCTTTGAAATTAAACTTTCTCTTGTTAGATCTTATGTAACAATTTGCAGAAAACTGAAGCAATTTGCAAGTGGGTAGCTTTTGCACACAGACCTTACCACACTCATAGGAGGAGTACAAGGTGCCAGGTGATCCAAGGTGTGCAATAATCCACGCATCATCACAATCTCCACTCTGGGCCTGCCAACCCATTAGTGCATACCTGTGTAAGAGGACCCATCCTCCTTCCTAACAACAGTATACACACAGATTTCATATCTTTTAACAGAATTTCATGGGCATGTCTCTCAAATGCTACTTTAGGGAAACAAAGACTGTTAGCAATGGATATCACTGGGTTTATCTGTTGTTATTAACATTGATATTATCAATGCATATTTTAGTAACTGGTAAGTATTCAATAAAACTAAGAAGTCTGATATCTACAGACAGTCTCAATTTGAGTCATTGGGGAAATATAATGGAGATCAACAACAGATAATTCTGAATCTTGATTAAAAAGTGAATCTTCTAAGCAAGTTCCTACATGAAATCATTCCCAGATTACAGCCAGAATAACCATGGACCTAGAAGGAGTATCAGGAGATGTTTCCTCACTTTCAAGAGTGTCTATGCTCTTGCAACAATATTAACAACATCATGTAAATATGACAGAAAACAACAGCCAAACACCCCCTCTCTATTGACCCAGGAAATATTCTTAGCCTTCAGATGTAAAAGACCAGCTTGCTTCTAAGCATATTTAGATTTTATTCAGAAAAATAAGATGTTTTAGAGACCCTCTCACTCAAACTCTCCTTATTATTTAACCAGGAGCCTGGCATCCCCAGAATCTTGTTGGCCTTCCACAAAAAAACTTTGTCTTTAAAATAAAAACCTTTTTTTTTTTTTTCCTGAGCTGCAACAGAACAGTAGCTTCAAAGAGAATGGAGTCAATGTGTGACATTTATCTTTATAGCAAACGGACATAATCTTCCTTCTATCGTGTCCCCTTTCCGAGGAGCAGTGTAGCATGTGCCGGGGCACAAGGTCACATGAAAGAAACCTCCTCCTCAAGTGTCACGTCTGTCTTGCAGGGGGAAAGGCTACCAAGTAGCGGATTCTTTCAGGAATTAAATACACCATGACCTGGCAACAACTGAATCCTATTCAAAAAAAGAGGAATAAGACCAGGCCTAAAAGACACTTATTTTTTTCATGATTTGGACTTCCCTTGACCTAAAGAAGGTCAAAGAAATGCCTGAGTCTAAATTACTTAATACACTGGTTTTTCTAGCACATACCTCTTTGTAACTCTAGAATCAACTTGATATGCCCTTTTTGCAACATTTTGAGAAACAGCTAGAAAATGGAAGCCCTGGTTGAAGTCAGGATGGTGTGTAATTTGTTTTTGTGAATTTTTTTTTGTTTATTTAAGTTATTAAGCAACAGAATCAGAATTCCCTTCTCTGCTATGAGAAACCAGTCCACCTATCTATTTTGAATTAAACTAAAGATTTCTTTCTAAGGTAACGGGGGGAAAAGTAGAACTCTAAAAATGTGTAGAAACATGGGTGGCTGCTCACACCACATCCCCACAAAAACCAAGCGACATCCAAATCCAGCCCCCAGGTTGCCCTGAAACCAACAGTATAGTGTGTAACGGGGAGGGCAGAGGGCAGGTTAGAGAAGACACGCCTTCCCTTCCACTCCTCAGACTCGAAAATCAGTGATCTAGGTAACACCAACCAAATCATCTCTCCACGATATAAAGGTAAACAACAAAATGAGATATTCTATCAACACCTTCTTAGCCCATAATCTATTTAGGATGCTGGGAAGTGATGGCATTTGCTTCAACTGAAAAGTGCACAGAGGCACCCCCTCTGCTGTTTCCAATCAGGCAACAGCAAACAGAACTTGAATTTAGGATGCATCCATATGGTCACACGGGGCATTTTTCGAGTGACCATTTCAAGAGGCCCTGTGTTTTTCTCTGCAGTGATCTTTCCTCTTGCATGAGTCTGACAACACGAATGATTTTTTTAATACAATTACTCCATCAGTGGAGCTGCTTCATCAAGTCTTGGATTGTGAACAGAGGCACGAAACCAGAGGGCACAGGCCCCAATCCGAGAAGTTCCTTTCTCTCTTCTTTCAGTTCGAACATTTTAAACATTCATTGATTAAAATATTAAGTGTTTCAGCAATAGAATAAATTCAGTAAAGAGAAAAGAAAACACACTTTCTTATAGATCTCCATATTAAATTCCTGCTGAGCAGCTCATTCTGATGTTGGCATGAACTCAGTGCATTTAAACCAAAAAGGGAGTACACCTCCCTCAGGTGTACATCCTACAATGAAACAATCAAAAAGTGTCCCCTACACTGGAAGCTCATGACCTCTTCCTCATCTTTACACGCATCTAGTCACTTGAGTGGAAAAATTACACTTCACATCTATTGCTGGTTAGACCCAAGACACTTTAAAATGACAAAGCCACTAGTTTTTCAGGAGGCACAGTTTTATCAGTTACCCTTTTCCAGTTCTTCAGTCAACTAAAGTTTATTATTAATTTCATATAAGCTTTTCCAAGTAACTAATATACAGGTGAATTTATAGTGTAAACACCATTAATACATTTATTTGATAACCAGATGCAGAAAACATTTATAAAATTACATGTTACACAGAACCATGCCTCTCTTTCTGCTTCTACCGTAAATAAAATTTTCATAAATCGGGAGTGATTTGTTCCAAGGCAAGATTGCCCAGCTCCCTCTGTTCTTCTCCTTGTTTCCAAATTTTAGCCATTTCTCTCTTTTATTTCACCAGATGGCAGGTGAGAAGTAAAGAGAAATGAAACTCAGAACCGATAAACATTTCAGGATTTTATCGACACTTTGGAAACTCTGGCGTGAACGATTTGGATCGCTTAGGGTCATAAAAGTTCCAGAGATCCATTTTCCTGGTTGTATTCTGCTGTTTACACAAGTTTTAAAGTAATTATAATTAGCGCATATAGTTCACTCAGCAATTTAAATGGAAGTTTGTCATAAATGCATCAAATTGATGTTAGCTGTGATCGTTCAGTCAATTATTTGCCATTCTAAACACTCTTCATCAATGCGGCTGCAAATAATCAAAGCTGGCTAGACACACGACGGCAGTGTTTATACTGCTGAGGACACACAGAGCCTACTTCCTGTTCTAGTCTGGCAGGATATCCTCGGGAGGCATCTGAAACTCCATCCATCCATCCCCAGGACCATATATTTATCATGCACACGCCTGAAAAACAAACCAGTCCAAGAAATGATGTCTCCACTGTGAGAACTCAAGTGACTCAATGTCTCCCTCAGATGAATAGCTCGCTCTATATGACAGCGACTTCTCCTTTGGAAAGACTGTCCCCACGAGAAACACTGATGATTCAAATTTTCCACATGCACATTCCTTCAGAATCTGATTGGGTTGGAATAAAATAAAGCACTTGCAGGAAAAGCTTTGATTATGTCTGAATGACAATATTCTTCAGAGTTCTTGTATGACAAGAAATTATACCAGAGCAGGATAAGTGAAAAGGGCTTAAGTTCCACAAAAAGGTAATAAAAATGCTAACATAAAAGTATATAGTGTGATAAATTAGGGCAGAGCAGTTACTGATTATACAAAAGTCCATTTGTGATGGAGGCAGCAGGAAGGGTGGGCTCTCCCTTGTCCAGTGTTTCTAAAGCAGCTCCCCCCCCATGTTCAGTGATGCCACTCACTCCATGACAAAGACGCTTTGATCTCCCCCATTAAATATATCCCGTATGGACCTAGCCTGAACCTGGTAATGAAAAAAATCATTTATATGAAAGGGAGGCGAGTACTGTATATCTCTAAGATTATTCATTACCTTTCAAAAATGAAGCCATTTGTGCAGTCTTTGTGTCATACATACATGAAAGAGCACTACGCTGCTTATTTAAAGTACTTTGTTGTGCTCCTGCTTTTTTATTCCTGCCACAGATCAGATGGGAAACCCAACCGAAGCAACCGAGTAAGGCAAAAAAAAGAAAGAAAAAAAAAAAGAAAGAAGACGACTTAGCAATTTACAGTCAGAAAGACGAACACGATGGTAGAAATAGAAGATTCCATACCTGAGTTGGAGGGTTTAGACACTCTTCCCTTGGGAACTGGGAGTAGCAATAATTCCAGGGATTGTGGCGGTGGCGGCGGAGGTGGCGGCGGCGGTGGCGGGGTCACCTTTTCCTGCTTCTTCTCTGAAGGCGGTGGCGGTAGGGCGTCCTCGGGCACCAGGGACGCCTTCTCAGCCAGAAGGCTCCCCGCGGCCCGCGCGGCCACCTCCTTGAGCAGGGCGGCCGAGGAGGTCATGGAGGCCAGGGAAAGGAAGGAGCTGGCCGGAGGGGGGTGCTCCTGGCCAGGGGTCAAGCTTCTCTCACTGACCTTCTTGGACAAAGCTGCCAAGGTGGAGCTGGCAGACTGGGAGCTGAAAGGGGACGCGAAGGACTCAAACCGCACGGTGTCCTCAGTCCTGGTGAGAGATTTGTCCTGCAGAACGGCATTGGCTGCAGCTTTCAGTTTTAGGATGGCGGAGTCGGGGGACAAGCCGCAGGTGGTGGTTGAGTTTGGCAACCACTTACCTTGATTCCAGAGAAAACGGCTGCTTGGAGTGTATTGGTCATTCTGCTCCTGCTTCTCGGCCAGCTTCCTGGCAAGAACGCTGAGCTGCTGGGCGTGGTGGGCCGGCGGGGAAAAGGACAGGCTGGAGCCCACGTTCACCGGGGACTCCACCCTGCCGTTGGCTGTGGCTGTGGCGTCGAGCTTGAGGGACCCGGCCTCCAGCAGCCGCCTCAAGTTGCTGCTCAAAGGTTTCGTGGAGCCTGGGGAGTCGTCTTCGCACAAAGAGGACACGCCAGGGGAGAGGTGATCTTGACACTGCAGGGAGTCTCGCAGGAGGTCGCTGTCGAGTGCCACCAGCTCCAACGTGTGGCTGCTGGGAGTGGCACTTCCCAAGGAGGTGTCGGGGGAAGTGGACTGCTCCTGGATCCGGTCCTCCAGAGACAACTTATAGTTCTCCTGGACTTCGCCATAGGATGCTTCCGACGGGGTCTCTGAGGAGTTTCCATACCAGTGCTCTCCTTCACTGAGTTCGCCCTCCGCCTCTTCCTGCCTACTAACATCTGGGGGAATTAAGAAGAGCGGGTTTACTCCCAGAGTGAGCAGCACCAAGCCTGCAGACACTCAAAGGGCTGCCGGCACGCGTCCTCTTCCCTTCCACCCAAGACCCGCACGGCAGGCCGCGGCGGCCGACTAGAGCGCAGGTGCGAGTCAGGCAGTCTTGGCATAAGCCTCAGAGGAGGTAAAGTGCTAAACAGGCAAAGGTAAAAGCACCCCACTTACGACACGTATTGACCTTTCTAATAATTACTCCAGATCAGCTGGAAGGGAAAAAGAGGCAAGAGAATAATGGATGGTACAGAAATAATTGCTATTTTCAATGGCTGGGGGGGTGGGCAGGTTGTGGAATGGAAAGAAGCTTGTACCCTCGTGAAAAAACCAGTGTGGTATCTTTAGTCTCGAGTCAGAATTAGAGAGGCAGCTGGCAGGGTGGGAAAACGTTGGCTGTGAGACAGACAGTGCGAAGCTGCTTCCCCACTTTCTAACTCCATGACCTCAGGCGAGTCACTTGGCTGGGTTGATACAAGATGAAATTAATTTTTTTAAAAAGTTTATAAAATTGTATATATTATAACAACATCACCCAGTTCTTATGAAGCTTAAATCATAATAAACACGTGACCACGTTTTGAAAACAGTCAAGTGTTATATATAAAAATCAGATCTCGTTACCAAACACGATTCACGTTACTGATTTCTTTTTTTTTTTTTTTAATGCTTTTTTTTTTTATTGATTTCAGAGAGAGGAAGGGAGAGGGAGAGACAGAAACATCAATGATGAGAGAGTAATTGATAGGCTGCCTCCTGCACGACCCCCGTGGGGATCAAGCCTGCAACTGGGGTATGTGCCCTGACCAGGAATCGAACCAAGACCTCCTGGTTCATAGGTCAACTCTCAACCACTGAGCAACACCAGCCGGGCACATTACTGATTTTTTAAAGCAACCATATCTGCCACATTATGCATGCTACTTGGTTGACAGGCCTTCACTGACATGTCTGCCACCTTATCCCAGGCAGAGATTAGTAATTCGTTACCTCACTTCTCTAAGTGTCCCCTTTAATTATTTTCTATCCATTAATTTACCCATCCACCACTCCCACTCTCAATGCTCGTCCCCCAAGCACTGGTCAGTTGGGACCCCTTGCCATTTCTCTCCCTGTGTTGTGACTTCTCTACCTTTGCTCAGAATATTCCCTGTATCTGGAATGTCTTTCCCCAGAAAACTTGAATGTCCAATTCTGCTCATCCTTCAGCACTCAGCTCAAAGGTTTCTTCCTCATGATTCTCCCCAGAACTCTCAGTCAGAATTAACCTCTCCTCATTCATTCACTCACTCAGCACATAGCTATGGACTACCTGCTGCACACCAGGCATTGTTCTCAATTGAAAACACCGAACAAAACAAAGATCCTGCCTTCTTGGAGCTTACATTTCACTGGAGGAAGACAGCTATTAAACAAAATTATTAAATTAGTAAGTCATAGAGTAAGCCAGAGGGTGACAAGTGCTTTGGGGAAAGACAGAGCAGGCAGGGCAAGGAGGGTGGTAGGTCATGGGCAAGAGGTGAGTTGCAATTTTAAATAAGGGGGCCAGGGTGAGGCTTCCCTGAGGTGGCGACCTCTGAGCAAAGACTGGAAAGAAGTGAGGAGCTGTTCATGCAGGATCTCTGGGAGAGAGTCCCAGGCAGAGGGCGTCACTGTGAAGGCCCTCATGTGGGAACATGCTTGGCATGTCCATGGAACAGCAAGGAGGACACTGTGGGTAGAGTGAGGTGAGAGAAGATCAGAGCAGCTGGAGAGGAAGTCAGAGAAAGAGAGAGAATTGTGAAGGAGGCTGAGCATATCAGTGGGACACTGTCAACTACTGAAAGGTCTTGGGCATCTGGTGAAATTAGGAACCATTGGAAGGTTTGGGGTAGGGGAGGCAAATGACATGACTTACATTGTCAAAGAACTGTTCTGGCTGCTGTGTGGGAAAGAGAATTCAGGTATGAGAGTGAGGGCAGGGAGACCAGCTCAAGGTGAGTGCAGGAGGTAAGAAGCCAATTCTGTGCATATTTTGAATGCAGGGTCAACATTCCTGTACTTTGTTTATATTGATTTCATACCACTCTAAATGATCTGTCTGCTATTGGTTTATCTTCTGAAAGGTAAGTGGGGTTGGGGTGTTCCTTGAAGGCAGGGATTTTATCACCTACATATCTCACACTATGCCCAACACAAAGCCTGGTTCTTAGCAGAGTTCAGTGAATGTTTAGGGATTGAGCCAAAATCCTCCACTGTGCCAAGTTTTGCTATATAACGTGCTGTCTTTTCTGAATAGAAATAGCTAGAACTAGTAATGCATGAACTACAAGCTAATACATTGATCTTCCCCTGCTATTTGCAGAAGAAATGTCACAAATGACAAATTCTCTTTCACTAAAGTTTTGCAGCTCCTTCCTGAGAGTCTTTATTAAGTTATCAAGAAAATGTAAAATATCAAATGGAATTTGCTGGGGAAAAAAGCAGACAAAATTGAATTTTCTCTTTTAAAAACAGTCTGGTTCCTTGTGATTTGCCACATTTCCTTCTTCCCACTTGATTTCAGCATTTTTCATCTTTCCTGAAACCAGCGGGACCCTGCGCTACTCATCTTCCCAGTAGCTTCTCCTGGAGATGCTTTTTACCAAACACCACGCAGTCCACATCAATTTTAACAACTGGACTAATTTTTCGTTCCTCTGGCAAACCACCTTTCTTGATTTCAGATTAAACATCTCATCCTTCAGGAGAATCGCAGTGAGAATTAGCTGAATATCTCCTTAAAGAATCTCTTCGTTGATCTTTATTGATACTCACTAAATGAACTAACATAGGAAAACAGGTGATTCAGAAGTAAGTACTGTTAGATTATATTTTTGTCAAACCAGAGTAGCTCTAGATAGACAATACTGGTCTAGAACCTTGCCGGAAGGGTCAACTAACAAGGTATAAATAAAATCAGGGTTTTGAGAACCACAAAAAATTACAATCACATGTCCAGGCCTGTCATTTTACCGAGACTATTAAATATTGTAAAAGTTACCCGGTTGAATCAAAGATACACAGCTATCTAGAACTAATACCCAAACCCAGAACCCACATCTCTCAATACTTGGCTCAGTGTTCTCCGTAAGCCCACTGCACCAGACACCCTCTGAATGGCAACCTCCTACCACCGCTTGCCCATCCTTCCACCCTCTTGAAACAGAAATCAACACAAGAATTCTCTTAGATAAGGGCAGTATTCACTCTTTATCTTGAGATAAACCATGCAGAGGAAAATACCCATTATTCCTATACCCTAATCTCTCCATTCCCTCTGCCTCTTCCTTGTGGAGGTCATCAAATATTGATTCAACTGCCTAGAGAATTCAGCAACATCTACTGGCAAAGCCCCAAAGGCAAAGCCTCATTTCCACCCTCCTCCATGTACACCCCCTTCAAATGTGCTGAAGCCTGTAAGCAGGTCAAAAACTAAAGAAGTTGTCAGCTCGCTCCAATCCTATCCAGCAGTGATAATGAGATCTGAACATTCTTCAATGATACAAACAGCTGATATCTACACATAAAGCAACTTTCCCAACCTTGCCAAAACACAAGCCCCAAACAAGCAAACACAGCATTTCTTAAACAGACTGTTTTACATCCTTTGAAACACCCAGATAGTTCCTCAGCCATCCATTCTTCTGTTCTTTTTGAACACGAACACAGCAATACCACTCTCTTCCGAACTGCAAGAAAACTCGGATACATAAAGAATATTTTTAAACTCATAATACTCTATTAATTGCTTTTCTGAAGATGCTGTTACTGAAATTGAGGTTATTCAAGTAATAAACCACCAAATAATTGTAATGCATGGCCTAGAAAGAGCCAGGCCAGAAACCTGCAGAGAAACAGATCTGAAATTATTCTGGCATCACCTGAGGTCAAGCGAAAGGTGGGGGAAGCTTTCAGAAAAATGAATGCAAGAGACGTGAGGAGGTGCAGAGGTGAAAGGATAATCTGAAGAGGCTCAAACAAATATGCTTGCAGTTCACGAAACAGCAGCAACAAGGATTTTCTCCCACAAATATTCATTCTCCCCGGGCCCCCGCCCCCGCTGGGCTGCTCTCTGTTATCATATTTGGTTTCATCAAGCAGGTGTCTGGAAGTCTGCATTGGTCCAGTTGTGGAGAGCTCCCCTTCAGCAGGGTCTGCAGGACCCCCAGCACCTTGGAGAATACATCATGAGAACAGGTTTCCTCATCTGGGAGCTCAAAACAAAGCATTCCTGCAATCTAGGAGATTAATTTGTTGGCCACCACAAACTTTAGAACAAGCAAGGCTTGACTTGAGTTCCTTTCACAATCTGAGAAGCCCCCAGGCAACGAGACAGCTCCCTTTTCCTGTCACCAGCGCCGAAGGTGGCACGTAATCAGAGTGCTGGAAATGCTTCATGTGCACATCCACCCACCCCACCGTGGATCTCACAGCTTTCCTAACCGAGGCTCCCAGGGAAGCCTCTCAACAGCCAATGTAAATAACTTCCTTCTAAATACATTATTTTTAACCTCCAGAATAGGAAGCGATTTCTGTGGCTAATTTTACAACAACCTATGTGTCTCACAGCCAGGTTCACACTCGTTCCTGTCAACTTTACACAACAGTCTGTTTTTGTGTTTTTTCACTTTGAATCAGAAACACAAAGAATTAAGAATAGAAACGGTGCAATTACAGAATGAAAATATGCTGAATAAATTTTGTTTCCATGTGGCGACAATTTCTCCTTTGGGGGAAACAAAACAAAATTCCACTACCTAACACATTTATTTATAATTCAGTTCCCAAGTAGAAACTCAGTAACTTGATATCCACAACTCTTGCTGCATATTTTCAACTCACTTCCTTTTCGGTGTGAGAGTTGTAATCAGATGCATTTAATTGGACCAATATTCATCTAAGGTCCTCGTTCAGAAAGATCGGACAGAAGAAA